TGTTTGTGGGTGAGTTAGCTTTAATGTGCACTCTTAGGCTCTTTTGAGAGTGACATTTTTTTTTCTGCATCAAACATCAGGAAAAAAAAGAGGTTAATTGTAAATGCCTTTTATGAAGCTCATGAAAGTCAATGCATTCATTACCAGCACGCTATACAGATGGGGCACATGTCAATACATTATTAACACAATTGTCAAGGTGCTTTGTCTGGATGTGTTTATAAGAGCAAACATAATCAGGCAAGAATTGGAATAAAAGCCAAAATATGTGTGATAAAGAGAATGGACAGACCCTGGCATGGTCATTCCTTCTGGATGCAGGGTGGGGTGAGACTTTCTGAACTGTGTATATTACCAGGACTTCTTCTGGGAAGTACAATCCCATGTCAAGTCAGGTTTTTTTTTTCCAACTTAGCTCTTGCTAAGTCAATCTTGATAAGCTAACGATAAGTGACAGAAGATCTCTGGCGCATCTGGCTGCTGTAGCTGAAGAGTGTCCTGCCTCCAGAGAGCCCTGTCTGCATCCAGAGCTATTGCTCTTCTGTGAAGGGACAAAACCCATGTACACTGCTGGGTGAGACAGCTCCTGTGGGTCACTGCTGAGCTGTGGCCACGTGTTCTTTTGTGCTGATTTTCTTACTCAGGCAGTTGTCTAGGGCACTGGGGCAAGATCACTGCTGAGATGGTGTGGTGACATCTTAAACTGTCTCACCTATTTGTTTAGTGAATTTGTTTCAGAGTCCCTTCCAGGTGGGAACCAGAACTGAAAGGATGGCTGGAGGGATGATAAAACATGACTCATGCTGTCTTTCATTCTCAAATCAGAAGAGAAGGGATCCTCTCCAGGAGGAGAAGGATGTGAGAAGATTATTTGAGCATTCATTTAAAGTGCCTTTGATTGTTCCATTCATCTAAGATCTCATGCTTTATTCCTACACTATTGTATTCGAATTGAATAATGGTACTTAATAAAAATGACATTCATTGTTGTTGCTATTGCTCTGAACAGGCTGGTAAAATCTCAGAGAAGCAATATAGCTGATTAGTTTGCAATGAAAAAGGTTACTGATATCAGGTTTTATGACCTGTGTGATAGTTCTGCTTAACCTTGTGCTTATTGCTTACTGGCAGTCCTACAAATACCCTACAGATCATAGGAATTTAACGTCAGCATCCTTCCAGACAAACAGGCTTTCTGGATTCTTGATAGGGAGAGAGGGCAGGATGTTTGTGTGTCCAGAATCTTCCTTTAGGCACCTTTTATAGAGGATCTGCAGGAAGGAGCCTTAGCTGTGAGCTTGACAGCCTGCCTGTGTTGCATGCTGCTTCATGAAGGAATGGAGTTGCTCTGGGTTGTCCAGATGGGTGGGCGCTGGTGTTTCTGAGAGCTCAAGCATCTCCTGTTGTGTTGCAGTCTCCAGGTACCCAGTAGGCTCTGCACAACACATCACACTGGCTTTGGCTTCACTCTGAATGTTCCTACCATTGTGGCTTTCATCCCAACTCTCACTGAATCACTGCATCATCCTGAGGTCACTGTATCCACTCTGTCTTGAGTAAGAAAGGGTAGACTTGGCTTTTACTCCCTTTACTCCCTGGCATTTCTTTTAACTCCCAAAAATCTGTGAGTGACCCATGTTCTACTTAGCTTTAAGTTTTACTATGAGGGCACTAGCCATGCTGTCCCAAAACATTCTGAAACCAAATTAAAGAGCTAAAAACTACAATTTTTCTCTTTTGGCTTCCATGTTGCTATGGCCACTTCTGTTCTTCTCACCTTGTCCTAATCCTTTTTGTCCCAGATGAAGACAGCTCCACAGTTCAGTAGAGACTGCAGCCGATCAACATTAAGTATATGCACAAAAGCACCATTATGTTTTGAAATGCCACCTTCTTGTTGAGAAGATTTGTGGATGTGTTCAGAGCTACAGCCAGTCTGAAGGTCTCTTCTGCAGTTTATATTTGAGAATTTCTACCCTACAGAAAGCTTAAGTCTGCTCACAGCTTGATACAAGATTCCATCCTTCCCCTGGTTCCCTTATGCGAGGCTTTACAGCCTTGGCTTCGGAGCTGGTTTCTGTACCCTGGGGCTTCATTTTAATGTGGGCCAAGAAAAGGTAATTCCAGTAGCATTTTGGGAGCTGTAAAACTGATGACTTTTGGAGCAAACACAGCCCAAATAAGACAGTGTGAAGTCTAAACAGGGATGTCTCTAGATGTTCCTTAAAATCTCTGGAGGACATTGGGTTAGTGGCATGCTTCCTCTGCCAAATTAAATAATCTGTGAACTAAATAATCTCCTGCATGATCTGTCCTAGAAATTTCATTATTCTTTCTGTCTTTTCAGATCTGTGCTGAAGGTCTCTGCAGAGATCAGTGCTTTGTTGTTGTTGTTGTTTTGTTTGTTTTTAGAGAGAAGACCAACGTACTATTGTAATTTTCTTCAAAAGCCAGTGAGCAACTTCCCGTTATCTTGTGGTCAGTCATATACTTTCTAGCTGAAATCCATGTTTGGTCATAGTGTTTATGTCCATTTTAGTGGGTTACAAACACCAGCTCAGCTGGAGGCAATTATTATCTGATATGTGCCCTGCGTAGAACATAATTATACTTGTCACTAAGTGGCACTGTGTAAATTACTCCTTAATTGCTACACATCAAATCAACAGTTACCCAGTCATTTCTCTGTGAAGTTAGAGTTCCAGTATTAGGCTCATCACTTTGGCATCTGCCTTCAACCAAATTCTCATTTGTTCCTTTCAGTACTTAAAATGTAATTTTCGGTGATGAAACCTTTTCAACGTATTTGGCATTAGTCCTGAAAATCCTCTGTTGGCCTTAACTATGTTGGTAGAGAGTTTAATATTTAAAACACAAGGAGTAATATAGAAGATAAGTCCTTCAAGGGCTACTGGCAAGATAATTATTGCATGTCTTTTGGGGCCAAAACCTCTCTTCTGGCTGGTAGGCTTATTCAAGAGGGGCTATAAGAGGGAGGAATGCAGAACTTTATGGTGATTTAGTTGGGCTATGCTATTTTTTGGGGGAGTGTGGGGTTCATAACGGTATTTGAATGCTATTAAAGTGGATGTAGTTTAGCCCTCTTAACCCTTGGTGAGTTAGGAGTGACTGGGCAGGAAAAAAACCCCAACCAGCGGGCGCACGTGCACCTCAGTGCCAAGATGTTTATCTGATCTGTGAACATCTGGCGGCCAGGCCCTGGACGAGACTGCTTCACTTGGCCGCTTCCCCGTGCCGTGGCGGAGGACGAGGCGGGCTGAGGTCTGTCCCACCGGTGCTGAGGGCGAACTCGCCGCCGGGCCCGTGACCCTGCTGCTCGGCTCCATGGGGCCTCCCCGGCCTAGGCCTCGCTGCAGCCGGGTCTGAGCATTTCTGGCCCGGGAGCGCCTTGCCTGCTTTCCACCTCGGTCCTCGTGGACTGCGAAGCTCAATCACTTAGTGCTGGGTCAAAATCCAGACATGGAGAGAAAATTTGATGGGAGTATATGTGACAGAAGAACCATGGAGGACTGTGGGGCTTGCTTTTGCAGAAGCAGGGGCTCTGTCCCCTTTCCGTAGTGCCAAGCAGACAGGACTGGGCAGCCCGGTAGAGGCTGTTAGAGCGAGGCACTTGTTTTCCTTCAGGCTTCCGCCCTGCTTTCTGTTGCTGACACCAGATACCGTTTGGCAGTGAAGCTGGGAGGAAAAGCCAGGGCTGGCGGCCAGCCTGCTCTGATTTTACATTCCAGGACTGTAATTCCTGAAGCAGTTTATGCGTGGACAGAGTGTTCAAAATAACAGAAGGAACATTTCCAGTTCGAGAAGGGCTCAGCAAAGTGCTTACGTGAAGCCTTCCTGTCTCCTTTTGCAAGCGGAGATGAGGAGCAAGTCCTGCAGTTGGAGCAAGCCTTGCTTGGGCCAGACAAACTGCTGCTGTGCTGGCCCAGCACACAGGCTTTAAATTCAGGGGTATTAACTCAAAGTGTCTGTTGCTATATTTTATAATAAAATTGCAAGCACAATTGAAGTATTTTAAATTCTTTGCAGTCTGAGGGCCTCCTATCCTTGGGTTTGATTTGGGTCTATACTGATGGCAAATTGTTCACCAGTTTTTCTGAAAAGCTGTCATGCTATTGAGTAAATTCTGTGTTTGTAAGACTCGTACAACCTTTTTAAATTGCTCTTTTTCTTTCTTTTATCTTTGGTTTGATTTCTGCCATCCACCTCCCTTATCATTGGATCTAGGCTCTTAAGGTGTATTTTCCAAAAGGTGTGGATTATGGCCAGACTGTGAATCCATAGGTGCTGCGGAGAAATAGTGCTATCCTAGAGCTGTGCCAGGAGTCCATCCTTGGACTGACATAGATGTTTGTCATATACTTGGGCGCATGAGAAAATAGATGGATTTAAGTTCCTCCTTTGTCTTCTTTGTCCTTTGTTTATGAATTGTACATCTGCAAGGACTAGGAAGATAATTGTATTTTTTTTAAAGCAAAGATGAGCTTTTCCAATAGTTGGGGTACTCCAGGACACAGAATTTTTTCTTTAAAAACAAACAACAACAACAAAAAAAGACTGTACATCTGAGATGTAGTGGAAAGCTATGGGAGCTGGTGGTACACGGTCCTATCATAATCCTGATAGAGAAATGGTTGTTAGGGTTATTGCATAACATGATGATGAATTCATTTTTTCTGTCCTGCATATACATCAAATATCATAGATGTACTTTTAGACTTATTTTTCATGTATTTGATTCATTGAAATCTGAATAGGGTTGGTAATTAAATGATAGATTTGATGTTAGTGGAGCACTGGAGAACTTTGTACCCATGGCTAGGACTCTTGAAAATCATTAACTGTAGATGTTTGCTCTGGGCACTCCTAACCAAGACCTCAGTACACATTTAATATATTCAAACCATGAAAATCATTGCAGACAAACTGCATAAACATGCAGTTAATGAAAAGTCTTGGCAAGCTCAGTACTTTTTATAGTGAGGTTCTTCTGTCTGCCCTATGGAAATAAAACAAAACGTGATTTCTCGTTCCCAGCTCTGACTGTTGGTTTTTTTTGCATGCCTAGGGTGATCTGCTGCAGTAAGGCTCTTGCCACAATGTCTGCCCCCTTCGAGAATGTGGTTGCTTTTTTCTGCCCTCACCAAACATTGAAGCTGATCACTTTATTTACCTTATGGATATAATCTTGCAACCTCCATCCAAAGAGGCTACATTTTTCTGGTGTTGAATCATCTGTGCTGAGTGCTCCATGAATAACGATCCTCCTAGAACTGTAAGTGACAGAATTCTTCATAATTGCTTAAATTTCTCAAAGTCCCCTGTGAAAGGTGTCTCACTGTTCTCAGTGACAAATCTGCAAGCTCCCTCAGAGCAGAAGATTTCAAAAACTGGAGAGCTTTCCCTTCAGGCTGCCTCCAGGCTCTTACTGACAAGTCACCACTCCTCAATGTAGAGACTGCTACTTTGGAATAGGAAGACCGGCATAGTCTTCCAGTTCCAAAGGTGAAGGTGAGGGTATTCCAAGAGTGAAGATGAGCCCTGAGTTGTGGCTCTTTTTTGTCTGGGCGCTGGTCTGGGTAATGGTGACGTTAGCTAGTGCTTTACTTGAGTTGCTGTTGGTTGTGCTACGTAACTACAGCTTGGGAAGTTCATGCTTAAGGTCTGCATGTGAGTCCTGGAGGGCTTTTGGTGTCTGGTTGCATTAATTGGGTCTAACTTTAGATAAATTTTGTTTCCCCACAGGAATAGTGATGGTTTCTTCCCATTCTGGATTTCCAAGTTAGACATGGCTGCGGGGAATATAATTATTCTTGTGATGTCTGCCACTGAGACTGGGCGCCATTTTTGGTAAATATTTGTCAAATTAAATGTTACATCTGCTTGTACTGTTTTTTTGTGACTCTTTGTGGCCAAACCCCAAAATATTTGAGCTAATGCATTTACTGGCAGGAATGCCTTGAGGAGAAGCTAATGTGAGAGATCATTTACAAGAAGCAAATGTGCCTATTTGTAAGTGTGAATATTTTCATCAGAAATCAAATTCCATGAGTGTGTTTCATGCAATTTGGGACCAAGAGCAATCTTATCTGACATAGACGTCCAGTCCACACTGAGCAATAAAAATCAAAGGATATAGATTGAACCAATGAAATGGCTCAGAGTGGGTCCTTAGATGAGGTATCATTAGAAGAAGTATCTGCATGAAATGAATCCAACTGAGAAAATAATAGCTAGATCTTTCATAGGTTTTGAAGGAAAAGATGTTATATACACTGAATATATTAGTGTATTTGCTTTGAGAAATGTCTATTTCCACTTTGTGCTTGCTAGTTCTATCTAGGTTGCACCATTCTGATCCCCATCTCTGTCTTCTGGATGCAGAAGAATTACGTCACAGAAAGGGTTCAGGATCTAGTTAACAGCATCAGGAAGAATGCTCTAATAGTCTCTTTTATTACAGCAAATGAGGGCCATCTCGTGCACAAATTTCTTTGGAGCTTGTCACTTCTCATATACCACTAATACATCAGTTGCCCAGAGCATGAAGGTGACTGCTCCCTCCACGGTGGTGGCAGCAAACCGTTCCCACTTCTGTCCTATTTTCTTCTGCTCACTCATTTAGTGAGAGTCAACAGTATTGTGGGGCAATTACAATGCCCTGGTAGTGTAATGAATTTGTTGGCTTCTGATTCAAAGTGTTGATGAACTGATTTAAAGAAGATCAATGGGAGCGGAAAATGTGCCTGATGGCTTTAGTACTCCAACATGAGGTACAATTTCTTTCTTCTTTTCAAAGAAAGTTAATCCTACAGACAGTCTTCCTACAGTGGAGATGTAGATGATGATTTCTCTTTACATTATGGCCATTCCCCAAGCTACACACTCCTGTGCAACTATTTGATCTGCTCTAAGAGTAGCAGAGGCAAAAGGAAAGAATGTTCTTTAATAAGTACTTGATAAAGACGTAGAGATGCCACCTGTTAGTTGCATTTATTTACAGCAGTTTGGTATCAATGTATGTTTGCTGCTTGTGTTTAAAGATGGTGTGAGATGGATGCCATATCAGAGCTACTGACTCAATCACATTGTATGATCGCAACCATCTGATGTGTCAGGATGCCTCTGCTGCTGCCTCAGCTCTTCCTTTGTGTGCTCTTGATAGTGCTAAGCAGTGTTTGCTTTCCAAGCCCTTTACAGACATGGTGAGGCAAGGAGGAGACTACTTTAGGATGACCAGACATTTTAGTTTGGCTGGCATTGACTCAGAATATGGATCCTTGTCTTCCTGTGAAGGCTTTCTGCAGGGCTCTCAATTCATGATTCTGGTCTTGGACATAGGAGTTTCCCAATTTCTCTTCCAGACTCTAGCTTTAGGAATTTACCTCTTCTGGACCTGTGATAGAAGACCTGGAGGCCAGTGATGTATGCTTTTAGAGAGCCCGGTACAAGGCATGTGCCTGTTGGACATCCTGTGCCAGGTTACATGTTATGTGCATGCTTGGTACACTACCCTTCCTTTTGCTCATGCGGATTTGATTCTGCAAGATCTTGGATTTGATTCAAAGACTCCCCATGGCTTCAAAACGGGCTTAGGATCTGACAGGGAAACTAGTAATTCCCAGTTTACCATATGAGCAGACTATGCTTTTTGACTACAAATGTGATGCTTGTAGAAAACTTCCCATACAGAAAACATTAATGGCCAAATAACAAGCCATATTGGATAACTGATTGAAAAAAATGGAAAATGGTGATTACTTATTTGATGAATATTTATTTGAATATTTATCTGGAAATAGAATATTTTGAATGCACAGTCTCTCAGCTAAATAATTAGCAGTAAATTATTTGATCATCTTTTACTTGCATGGTGCAGAAGTAGAACATGAATCAGACACTGTTGCCTACTGTCAGCACAGGCTGAGTTTCACCTCCTGAGAATAATATGGGTAATAGATGGTGAGAGTTGTGGAATAACATGAGCAGGAACATTTTTACTTATCTCCCAAGGATGTTTTCTCCCAGCCCTGCAAGGAGTCCTACTTCACAGTGAAAATCTGTGTGTTTCCTTTGAGGCAAGGAAGGTAATTAAAAGAGGCCCTTGCAGTGGAGGAACGCAATGCCAGCCTCTGCAGCACGCAGCCCTGCTGGCATCAGACACACCGCCAGTGGCTGGCCTCAGTGCTGGTGGCACGTGCATGGGCGTCCAAAGCAGAGCACTCTCCATGACCCCTTGGTGCTCCTTGAGCATCCAGCCATGAGCTCGGAGCATCCGTGTGCGCACTCAGGAGGGCTGCAGTGGCATCTGATCCTCTCTGCTGCAGCTCTTGTGCCCGCAAGGTAGGACCAGCTCAGCTCCTTCACGTCAGCAGCCCATGTCCTGGCCGGGGCTCTGGCCCCTGGAGCAAGGAGGGCACCTGAGCATGGCTGAGCTTTGCAGAGAGACAAGGAGGGTCCTGCTTGGGTTGGACCTCAGATTTACACAAGGAAGTCCTGCCAGGTCATCTCCCAAGAAGGGAATTTTCAGTTTTGAACATAAGTAAAGGAGATCTTAAAACTTCTGGAAAGCAGCTGGGATGCACAGCCTTGGGACACATCAATCCACCCTATCTCTGCAGCTTGAGAGAAGGACAGACAGACACAAAACCCAAAGGCTTTGTTGCATTTGTCAGACATGCAGATCAAACGCCAATTCCTGACTATGAAGTGCTTTAGTTGACTGCTGCTTCTGGAAGTAAATGATACCAGGCCACTAAATTCTTTCAAATCTCCATTCAGTATGACATCAGTGTTGGAACAAAGATGCCTGTGTTTTGTTTCTCCCGACGCTGTCTGCTTTTTCACTCTGCTTTCTGCTGTCCAAAACCCACTACTGTTGCTGCTGCTCGGGATGAAAGAAAATGCAGATTCCCTTTAGAGACTTATGATCATTTAAGAAAGAAAATAAGAAAGAAAGAAAACAAAAACCGAGAATAAAATTTGCTGCTCGTGGAAGATGAAAGTGCAGAATGAAAAACACTCTGCAGAGCAGGCACTGTGTGGATATGGGCTTTTCCCACTCTTGCTATGGTGCCAAGCCCTCATACTCAGCAAGGATTTCTGTCCTTGGGCTGCCTTGGATGGAAAGAGAAACTAAAAAGGCTAGTGACTTCACAGGGTGGAAAAATGTCCATTGCTGAAAAAGCTGAAACTACCAAATACTTTTAAAAAGGTAATGTTTCCAGAAGATTTGATATTCCAGGATGACACACCTAGCTAAAAAAAAAAAAACAATATTAATTAAGAAAAAATCTTCTTTCTGAGAAGCACTCAGGTTCCTGATTATGCTCTTGGTTTCTAGAATCTCTCTATTTAATATGTGTTCATTGCTGGCACTAACACGCAAGACATGAACTTCTGTCTCGAGATGCCATGCTTTGAAATGGTGATTTGTTCCTGAAGCCTGGAAAAATACAGGACCTGGATTCTTTCCCTACCTCATGGTTCTGGGGTCAGCCTGTTCCCGCCATCAGTAGAGATGACTTTTATCTTCTGAACTTCTAGCCCAGTGGTGCTGGTGGACGTCTGCAATGCAACAACTGTGTCTCTGTTGGAAGGTTATCCTCAAAGTGCCTTCAAGGATTGGACTGATAGATGAGAGTTTTGAAGGCTGCTTTTCATGCAAGAGCATCTGTCCAAAGAAACAGCAAACAAACCTTCTCCTTCCTTAGTAGTTTTAAAATTGGTACAGTTTGTTTTTCTGAGTCTGGATAGGATTCCATTTCTTAGAGCATGTGGTAATTAATTAAGTAATTAATTAAAAAGTACTTATTTGAAAACTTACTCACCCATGCACACTTGCTGTCTCTGTCTGGTAGCTTCTTTAATTTTGTGATGGAGCCAATAGCACAGGGACTGTCACAGAAAATGCTAGTAGTTAAGAAAAAAAGGAAAAAAGCCCTCAGTGCGCTGTCTCCTGCTTTTCCTGACTATATCCCTGTCAAAATGGGAGCATTAATTTCACATATGAGTGAGCTGGGGCTCACTGAGCTCTACCCGTGTGCTGCAAAACATTTGCAAGGACTTCAGGCAGTGGGAATGCACAGTGCTGTTGGCCTGTCCAAAGCCCACTGGCATCATCAGGGTGCTCTTCACTGTTTGCAGCTGCCTTTGAACTGCTCTCACATTTATTGTGCTTCAAATAATAGTGATTTTGAGATGCTTTGAGCTGCAGAATTATCTCAAGCATCTATTGTGGCTTGGGCCAACAAGGTAAAATTTTCTTACAGTGCCTGCTCTATGATTCCAATTGTACTGATTTTCTGTTGCTGTCTTGTACTGAGTAAGAGAATTCAGTCTTCTCTAGTTACAGTGGGTGCACGCTGTTCTTGCTGTGTTGGACTGTGGTGACACCAAGATTTCTGCACATCCTCTGCTCTACACAAAATTCTGAATCAAGCTGCAGGATTAACGCATCAGTATTTGACTTCTGTGTGATGAAGATCTGTCTTAGAGTTTAGTGGGGACAAGACTCATCAGGTTTAGCCCCTATGGAAAGGGGCTCTGAGAACCCCTTCTTCCAGCTGTTGACTGATTTTCTGTGTCACATTGGATCTGGGCAGTCTTCACATCCATCTGTATATTTTTTTAGTTTCAGATTTAATAAATACTTGCAGATGACTTCCCTGCAGGAATTTTAGGTGCTGACTTTTTTGTGCGGCTCTTGTATTCTCCTGGCTTTGCAAAGCTGCTTTGGCACCTTGAAGCAGGAGCTGTTCAGAGGGTACAAGTGTGATGCTCAGTAGATCTTTGTCGTTGTAGAGATCTTGGGAAAAAAGTTGTTGCATGAAAGACATTAGTGCTAGTGGCTCTT